TGCCCCCTGCCAATAAAAAAGGGGAAGGCGCGGGACCGAATTTTGTTTATCACCATCTTTATGGTGGGCCACCATTTATTTATACTGATGCGTTGTGTAATATAATACTGCGGAATGAGGGGTTTTGTAAAAGCGATTTAACGCTACACAAATTCTAAAAATTAGATGTTATTGTTGGATTCGCTCGAACTGTGCGCGGTGCAGTCGATCGCATAAATTATGGCTTCGATTAATCGTTTGTAATGTCTGTAATCGTAAATTCTATTCGCAATACCTTGCTTGTCGATAATCAATCGAGCGTAAGGGGACGTCGAGCGTGACGTAGATCGATAATAAACGTGTTATATTGACGTCCCAAAGTTTAATCCTTAAAAATCACGACAAAAAATAGTTAACTAATACGCCAAGAAGGTATTGGATCCTTTACTTTAATTTTGCATTGTAGTATAATATTAATTCCTACAGTAAATATATTATTATTTGGTTGTTAATTTAAAAATATTCAAGGAATTAATATATACCTAGCCTATTGTATTTTGAATGTGAGCTATTAATTAGTGCTTAAAAGTAAATTCCTACGCATACGCATATATAAGCGCAGCGTACTTGTAAGTAATAGCATTAGGGAGAATCTCTGTACGGCTAATCCTTCCATAGTTTATTGTAAATTAACGTACAACCCATCAGAGATGAAAAGAAAGACTAAGATAGAGGCCTACTTGAAGTTTCACGTCGCTTCTAGCGATTATTCCCTTTAAAAGAACTTTGGATCAGTAAAGATTGTGTTATAGTAATCAACGCGGACATCTGTTAGGGTCGGATTGTTTGTACGTTCACCCCTTTAATCGCTCCTATTAGGATGCCTCACCCTTCGCCTTGGGTTTATTTTTCTTGGAACGAGTTAAATGTAGCCCATTGCTCGACGTGCGTGCAAATTGCAATTTAAAATTCATCAGCTCCAGCAATATCAGCTATTTACTCACTGGTTATAATGCAAATTAATTTCACTCGAAAATTACATGTTCACGGCATATAAAGCAATAATGAAGTTGAATAAAAATTTTAAGCCAGAGTTACGTGGAAATAAGATAATATGGTTTTTGGCGTAAGTACTATTGAACTAACTACTACCTAAGTTAACCGCCTAAAACACACAGAGTAACATTATAGCTTGAAGTATAGTTAAATACCAATCATTTAGCTCTATCGATGAATAAAGCTGTTACTGAGATAAAAACGAGTACACCGTTTCAAACAAAAGACACGGTTTCTTTTGTATTATATAATAAGTATGGAAAATTTGCAACATGCGCATATAACTGTTATTTTGCAAAGGTTTAGGTGCCATTGTGTCTAATTTGTTGAGCTTACGGAAAGTACAGTCGGCAAATAACAAAAAGCCGTAAAACAATAAAATAAAACAAAAGCCGTTCGCTTATAGCGCCACCTTTCGGCGTGTCAAAGATGATTAAAGCAAAATAGAACAATTGTCACTCATTACAACACTCATTTAAACATTGTCAGGCACTTTTGAAATGTACCGGCATAGTGTGGCCACTAACTCAGCGGCAATTAATTTAGCATTTTTAAATAAAGCTTTATTGGATAGATTTTTCTCTGGACCTTATATTAACCCCAAATTCTAACTTTTAATTTATCTTAGAAACAGTCGCATGGCTATTCGGCCATTATTCTATTAAAATTGTGTAATAAAGTATAACTATTAGGACTATAGTGTGTTTATATAAATGCATGTAATACCAGCTCACCATTCGAATGAAAAATACTATCGATCATTACTAATTTACAGGTAATTAGCGGGTTAACAGACAAAATATAATTTTGCAAGAGGATCGTGCGCGGTTCTAATGGCCCGTCGCGAGTACCATCGTTCTTGTAAAATTATTTACAACGAGCGGCGTTCACAAAAGCTCGCCGTTTATTGCGCCATAAATAGTGACACAACAGCGATATTTATCCCGCCTCACCTGTTATTTATTGCTTTACAGCCGCGCCCTGGTTTTTACGCCGGACAACTCAACGGACGCCTGAAGTCTGTCACTCAACGGACGTCTTAACGCTCTGACTTAATCCGCTTCACGAAAATATCTTTATTAAACGCTGGTTAAGCCTCGTCGTCGTTTATTTGCATTAACTCCTACATAAGGTCATGTATTCGATTTGATTAGGAAAATTTAACACTTAACTTTATGTATTTATTGAAATTGAACTTTTTAACTCAAAAATATACCTCAAGAACAACGTGAACGTAAGAAGGAAGATTTTATTTATTATTTGTCTCTTATCTAAACTTCAGGAAGATAACATTTTACAAGGTTATAAATATTACAATTAGGGGTTGAGCAGAAAGGCAATTTTATGGGCGTTTTTGGGGGGTCCAAACGCGGTCATAAACTTTATGATTAAGTATGGGTTTAGGTAAATATTTATAAAGGGCTGTTTGCAGTGTAAATGGACCCAGTACCAATTATATTGAGGGATAGCTGGTAATATAGTTTTCGTACTTCGGTCTAATAATAACAATAAATTGAGATTTAAGGGTACAGTTGCAAGGTGTGGCTCAAATTGTGTCGCTAAAAATAGAATAAAAATTATAAGTTAGTAACTTAATAAGTGCACGTCAAACACGTAGATTACCATCCGTGCAATCGAGATAGATAGGACGATACATTATGATGTCACGTCTCGTGTAATGAGAGGACAGTGGATCTTTGTGCGGCCGGATGCTGCGAGATCAAAGCCCCGCTCTGTGGCACCTCCAACTCACGTCGACTTGCCACCACAACTCTTCAGAGTTGAAATGTCATAATCAATATTAAATCTTCTATTATTCCCAGTTCGAGACTTACAATAGCGAGTCCATATTCCTGTCTTTTTAATTAGCATTATAAGCTAATCCGTGGTAAATCTATTAGTTCAACTTGACAACCGTATTAGGGATGTTGTAATACCTTACTCATAACCACAAAGATCGATTGGCAGGAAGTATACAAAATGCCACACAAGCAACTCAACATTCTACAAATAAATATGTTTTATTGGCGTGCAATGGGCAAGTACTTTTGGGGAGAAGACAAATCGAGGGGCTCCACACAATTCGTCAAAAGACAACAATAATATTTATCCCCGAAACCCGGATTTGTTTGAGAAAAAACTAACGTATCGACACATCCAATTTAGTTTTTCAAAGCGTCCCGTATCAAAGGGACCGCTTTCGGCGCTTTTACAAGTTTTTTGTTGCGCCCTCTTAATAATACACTGTTTACACGTGAATAAATTATTCCATTGACGTGTAATTGAGTTCGGATATCCGTAAAGCCATAAACTCATGCGTAGCCGATTCTCGAATGCTTTTTGTACACGAAAATGGCTTTCGTTGCGGTCAAACCTGTAATTTCTTCGTACCTATTACAAAGCTCGTAACGAGAACAATTTAATCCTCGAAATTCAATATTCTTCCATTGTGATGACAGCTCACAATGGAAGAATATTCTTATAATCGACGAAGTGAAATGAGTATTAAACGAATATGCGATGTGAACATTCAATGAATAATGTGTAGGAAATAGGTACCTACTGTCTGTAGTTTACGCGTAGTTTAACGTGTAGTATTTAACGCAAGACGGAAAATTTGTTGTAATTTTAAAAATTAGACTAGTTTGCATTGTCAATTCTTAATAAGCTAAAGTAGGTTCCACCCACTGGTTCCCAAAATATAAAATGCCCGTGCTTGCGCAACAAACTAAATCGTTATCACTATAAAAACCATTAAGATAAGCCTCTGTATCTATTGCGTGCCGATTTAACGAGTAATTGTAAAAGAAATTGATAGCTACGATATAACACTCGCGCTGTATCGGCCTTAAATAAAGCGTAGCATAGGTAACGATACATTTTTGAAAAATACCTGTCTTCGTTAAAAGTAGTTACGAAGGCTAGAACAGATTTACATCCGAAACGTCGGGCCGAAGTTAAAAATCATTTTCAAATAAGTTTAACTAATATATCGCGTTTTAAAACGTTACAGTGTTTTATTTAAATATGTACTACTCGCGTAAACTATAGACAGTATTGTTTTCCTTGACTATTTCACATTACCAGTACAAATAAAGCTAAGTAATATATTTCGCGTATTAAACCGTTAAAGTGATTTATTTGAAGGATAGAATTTGTTTTTCGTTACACGCATAAGATAACAATATTATTAAAAAGTAACACAAAAAATGTTAAACCTTTCTCTAAGATTAACATCCAATACTTGGTGTAGGTACTTAAGTACTTACAGGACCTAAGTAACAATTTTGTTAAGAAACTATTCTAGTAACTATTACCGTATCGTTAAAGTGCTTAACACCTCAAGAACATTCTGAGAAGTTGGTAAAAAAGTTTTCGAGGAACCTGAATTGAATTCACGAGGCAGGGGCTAATACAGAATATCCGAAAACGACAGCTTTCGCATTCGCGACACGTACGAAACGATTTAGTCACAAACTCGCGAAAGCAAACGGGGCACGCTGCTTCTAAGCAAACACTAAAATGAGCGTGTTCCTAATTTATAGAAATACGGGCCTGAGAGACCCCGCGTCGCAATAAACATGTTTTTTGTTGAGCGTGTCCGCGCTCTGTCAAATATATTACGACCCGCCGCGTTATTTACGACCTCCGTCGTCCGCCCATACGTTATACTTAGTATCTTTGTTTGGACACAATGAGCAATATTTCTAAAGGCCCGACGCAGCTGTCGATACGGGTATCCGAATTGACATATTTAATTCGTTCTCTCCGGAGGGCCTCGCCGTGTTGGACAGGTTTTAATGTCGGATTAACATTAGCGTTATGGAGTTTAAGTAGTCGATATGAGTCGAGGGAAATACGCGCTCGTAAAACGTCGACATCAAACGAGGACGTGGAAACGTTGAACGGATCAATTCTCCCCTTTGAACCGAGAGCGGAACAAAGGCAAGAGTAAGTAGTCGAGAATGTGTCAGCGAAGCGCCGGCGAGGAGCGGTGTCGAAGGCGTAATAAAAGTGTCGCGGACAAAAAAGGCCCGGAGTGCAGCGGCCTGCGCTCGAGGCAGGTAGAAGCGGCGAGCGGGCTCAAAGCGCCGCCGACCTGGGTGGCTCGCCGACGCCGTCGCACGTCTCAATCCGCACCGGCCTGTCGGCCATACCGCCTTTCCTTTTTCCCCTACCGCAATGCAGCTATGTGTCGTTTCCGCTTTATTTTTTATGATCACGCTCTGCAGCGGAGAGCTATAGTGCGCTCCCTCTAACGACGACTTACGATATCGCCGTCCCGCTCGCGCGGAGTGCGGAGCGGGGAGTGTACGTCGGGCTCCGGTGGGGTCTCGTCTCGCACAGTCACTTCGAGCGCCGCCACGGATGCACGCATTCGTTCAGAGCATTTCGCGCCACACAGAGTAGTTTGCGTTGAGAGCTTACAGTGACGGACGTAAAGTTTAAGTGATCGTGAAAGTTGTCCTCCAAATGGTGGTACTTGAAGACGGAGGAATGATGACCAGTAATCCTAACCAATATCTTCAACCTGATTATTTAACTCCTTTACCGTCTTCTGTAAGTATTTTACAAATGGTTTATTTTCTTTTATAGAAACTAAATTTATTTCAATATTGAACTTAATCAGAATTCATCTAAACTGAACAAATAAGTTAACGTATTTTTCCTTTGTTACAGTTGGACTCAAAGAAGAGCCCACTCGCGCTGTTAGCGCAAACTTGCAGCCAAATCGGAGCGGACACGATGCCTTCAAAGCCCCTTTTACCTGTGATTGACAAGAAGAAATCAGTGAATAGTGCTAACAGTGATTCCATTAGTCGTTCTTCACCCAACGCCCCTAAAGTTGATAAACCGCGCTCTACTCCGGAAACCAAACATTTAGCTTTTAAGCCTTATGAAAACACTGTCGTTACGAAGAAACCTGAAGACACTCGTCCTTCATCCAAAGCGAGTTCGGACAGTCAAGAAGATAAAAAATCTGGAAAGAGTACTCCCGGGCGCAAGTCGACACCTCCGAGCGCAGAAAACGGAAAACATAGCCCGACTACAGAACAAAAATCGTCTCCCACCGGTTCCAGCTCCGGCACGAGCCCCATAATACGATCCGGATTAGAAGTCTTAGGTCACGGAAAAGATCACCTCGGAGCCTTTAAGAATATACCTGGATTATCAGGATTTAATCCTCTGACTGGACTCTGCTGCCCGCCGGGAATGGAGCAACATGCCAACCCTGCTTTTCGCCCACCGTATGCCGGTGCACCTTTCAGTGGCCATCACGCTGCTATGTTAGCGGCCGCAGCCGCTTTCCCGGGATCTTCACCCAACCCGTATCTTGGTTATGCTCGCGTGAAAACCCCTGCCGGCGGTGAAACATTAGTCCCCGTTTGCAAAGACCCCTACTGCACTGGATGTCAATTTTCCGTGAACAATCACCATTTGCTAATGAGCAACGGATCCTGTCCAGCCGGATGTACTCAATGTGAACACCAAAAATACAACTTGGCAATGGCGATGGCCTTGTCACAGCAAGGAGCGGGCGGGCTCCCATACCCACAAGTCACTCGCCCTTACGTGTGTAATTGGATTGTCGGCGAATCGTATTGCGGCAAGAGATTCGGGAATTCCGAAGAGCTGCTCCAACATCTCAGAAGTCACACGGCGGATGGATCCACTCCGGCGTCTTCGTCTTCGTCGCAGCCCTCCTTACTAAATCCTCTTAACCCGTTATTTACGACTGCCGGTCTCCGCAGCGCGTATCCGACGGCACCTCTGAGTCCCCTTTCGGCGAGCAGATACCATCCGTACTCGAAGGCCGGTCTCCCTGCGGGCCTCGGGTCGTCCCCCTATGGTGCTTTCAATCCGGCTCTCGGTCCCTTCTACTCTCCGTACGCTATGTACGGCCAAAGACTCGGAGCGGCCGCCGTCCATCAATAAAAAGTGCAGTGGTGTTCTTAGTCGACGATTTTGCAGGACACGTTCGCTGTTTTGTATTGTCCAAGTTTCTTCTGTGATATCCATAGGCTCTAATTTAAAATAAGGCGGCATGCGCCATGACAAATTTAGTGAATAGTGCAATGTAATCGTAAGTTATATATTTTAAGGATCTCGTTGACGAAGTTTGTGTCTACGCGGATGTTGAGACTATTTTAAAGACTATGTACAGCCAAATGAGTGTAAATAGGAATTACCTACTTACGTTTAACATTAAATAAATATTATTTGAAATATAATATCTATGTAAATTATATTTTTTATTTAATATCTAAAACTGTCGTCGTTGTTTCGACGCGATAAAAGATCGGTTACAACTTGTTGCGCTTTCCGGCTTAGCAATAGTTTCACTGACATTTTTATATCGTGCAAGATTAGTTCTCTTGCAATAAATCTCATAGAAAGCGCATTAAACACCGACATAAAAGTGAATTATACGCCATCGAGTCGAAACGACTTTCCAACTATGGCGCAGCGGCAATAAACCTAACAGAATGATTGATTAATGTACCTCTAACACACACACATTAGTGCCGTCAATCAACGAACGTGGCGTGATAAAACAAGACTGCTATCACGCAACTCGGCAACTGCACCGCCCACCTAATGCGGTAGGAAAAAGCCAAAAACAATTTAACTTCATTGAAAACATACAAAAAGAAATAATATAATGCCCCTCTCAACATTAATAACAGAACCGTGAGCTGTCAGTCTGTAAGGAGTTTTTTTGATAAATGCTGTTTTGATTAGGCCCATGTCATGTCGAAAATTCAACTGTCAAAAACATAATTGGTCGCATGAAAAGACGATAGAGCAGGTAGGATCAGAGACAGATTTAAGAAATGATATCTAATCACCGCGTATTAACTTCAACACATAAATTTTAAGTCACGCGTCATTAGTTTTAATTTACTTACTATCTAGTAATTAAAACGGTAGATATCTCCACTAATACCGAGCTGAACGCATGAGGCCGCAATAAATATTTATGTATCAAGTTTTATTATTAGTACAGTCGTAATGTTTCGTCAGACAGATATAAAAGCAATAAAGCGCATTATTCATATTTTAATTACTGGCATTGTCATGCAGTCATAAATCAATAAACACATAAAATTACCCTATACACGGTACACCGCTCCGTCCGACTTTGACACAGTTTCGTCGGCGAACCTCTCAGTTTGGATGCACCTAGCGCCATCTATGTGCAGGCAAGTGAACTTTTTGCTTTTGAGGTGGTTATCGCCTTAAAATTCATGCGATTTTATAAATATTTGTGCTTAGGTGGAATATTATTCAAAACTTACGGGGTTGCTTTATGTGACTAGGAGATAAATAACACAGCATTTATAATTACTCTGTTACTTGCAGGATTAATTATCGTAACACAAACGGTAGATTTAACTTATTCTAAGGTAATTTTAAATCCATAGAAAATTAACAAGTAACGAGCATAGAATTCTGTACCTGAGCGCAAAATCGAGTACTTAGGATGGCACTATGAACTCACAACGAATAAAAACCAGCTTAGTGATAGTGTTCACTCGTGTGCGCAACCCTTAAATTTGATAGATGAGCGCAGAGATGGATGCGATACGTTAATCCGGGCTACGAAATAACCAATTACGATTAACATTAACATAGCCGTTGAATTATGCATGGGTGTTATAGAGCCGCGGAATTAGGGGGTATATCTACCAATTGTCAGAGTAATCGGGTTTTTGTTATGTAAAGCTGTACCTGGACATATTAAGAAACGGAACGGCTTTGTCAGACCTGATGGGTTTTTGATAAATGTAATTCGACGTATTGTGTGAAAGCTCTTTGTAGGAATTGTTAACTGGTGTATGTATTATTCTGTGGATCGGCAGGTGGTTTTAGCACGGTGGTGGTGTTATTGGTCTTATTTTAAGTTTACTTCATTGCCTTTTAAGTCGAACGTAACTGTAAAAAAATTTTAACATTGTATTACGTTATATTTTAATCTCTATTAATATCTTAACGATCTATTCTGTATTCTTTCCGAAAAGTTTTGTTGTGTTACTGTTGGTTTAATAACTCCGTAATTTATGATAGGAGATATTAAGAAAGTATAGTGAACTGTGATGGCAATAACAGTCTTCCAATCGGGACAGATAATTATATTCAGATTGTTCGTAATATGTCGGAATAATAAGCACCGAATAATTACTTAATAACAAAAAATCTGCGACCAGCATTTCTTTTATGACCGAAAAAAGTACGTAATTACATTAATTTAAAAAGAAACTCCGCTGTAATTTCACTTCGTCCCCCGTCTTTAATTGTACTTGTAATTAAGATAATAAGTAGAGTTTGAAAGAGTAATTACTATATTATGACAATGTGACAGTATTGACACTTGACAGCTAATTATGTGTTCGATTTGCGTATGGTACGAGAGAAAGGAGGAAGCGGTGAGAAATATAATTAAGTTTTGTTTTACCAGTACCAAAGTTTATTAAAATCTGCAACTTCGAAAACCAATAGGATAATTAATGTATTAGTGTAATAATAATAAGGTAGAATCTTTCAAGGCGGACTGATAATATCGAGAGCTGATAAAGGTATAAACTAAGTGAGTCAGTTGGAAATTAGGCAGGAAGATTTTTAATATTACACAACGATACGAAACATAGTACGAGTGAAATGATTGTAAAATAATGTAATATCATACAGTGTAAAGGTGTTCGAAATGATTAGCTCCAAGCTTGGACTGATCCATAAACAATGCTCCATTGTGTCCCTGACATATGTCTATCTTAGGAACAAATGGTGTTTTATTTTTAATGAATGGATAATTAGACATTACAACACTAAAGTAATCGACTCTGAATGTACGCTTAATAGATGGTTACAAAAGTATAAATATATAAAACAATGTTCCGGTAATGAGTTCCGCCTATGTGCTAATTGTTAACTATTATGAGTCATGATTTAGACATTACTGCAGCGGAGGCAACAGAAGCATCGATGGTCGAACACTTGAAAGAGGGCCGAGATGAAGCCGAGGCACACAATTGTCAATACCTAGTTGTGGCCAAGCTTGCAAGTTCGATCTATCTCCAACAATAATACTCAAATTTTCTATCGAAAAAACCGCTTAAGACAAATATAATATAAGCTTTTAGCTAGTTTAACTAAATGATAATTCGAGCTTGATTGCGTCGCACGAGTAACTATTCAGTTGCTGTGGTCTGGGCAATTTAGTTTTATTAAAACTAGTGTTTAGCTTATACTATTTAACAATTAAAAAGTTAATCTTAAGTCTTACATTATAATACAGTTTAATTCTTAAAAGTATATTAAAAACTGCAGAATAACAAGAGATTATTTACTTTCTACACGATGCTATAAAGTAAAATACAGTGTTATGTTCAATAAAAGATTTTACCAACTCTAACGTCAGAGTTCGGGAACTTAAGAATCCTCCAAACAAAGAAGTATAATTAACTTCTTGAATGAATTACATAAAGTTCACATTGTTAAAGACATAACATAAGACTGCGAAACCCACCTACAGTAATAATTTTAATTCTACATTGTAGCTTAAATTACTTTGTATTTGAATGTAATTAACTCTGTCCTCGACTTTTATTATCGCAATATCGAGTATAATACAGCAGTCACGAATTGTTTCACAGCACTTTATGAGTTAACTATGAAATATTATGACAGGACCATAATAAATTGCTCTATTTGTTAATAAATTGTGTGGCTCGTTAAAGCTATTTCATAAATAATATATATTTTTCTTATATAATTCTAAGCTACTTTAATATGACTACAATCATACCAGATTCGAGATACCTAATTTCAATAAAATAAAAAGCAAATGACAGTTCGTCAAGTGGATTGATTATCGAAGATTAGTTTTCTGTGGACTTTTACAGTTCCTTTGTTTCCATCAACATCAGGTTTTTCCAAAATTCTTTTTAGTAAATGCCTATTAGCTCGTGTCGTGCGAGTGTGCAAATAGTAGCAATATTTCCGGTAAATGTATCATAGTTAAGTCTGATCTCGGCCCAATTGCCACCTCGCGAAGATTAATGCCGCAATAGAGGCTCAATTTGAGCCACCCAACCACACAGGATACCATATTTCATGTTGACAGACATTACTGCGCTTACGAGCGTTTATTCTTTGTGTCCCGTATTTTATTCGCTTTATGACGGCCTCTAACAATACACCTCTGCGTGCACATTTGGCCTGTCGAACTAAATCCAACCTTATGTCCAGCAATATTAAGACGCAGACGACGAGAACGAGTGCGCGACCGGAGTGGTGTAAATATAATAGCCGTGGATGCCAGTTGTATGTTTGTTAGCATTTTATTTGGGAACGATCTCGTGTCATAAAATAATGGAGTAATGCAGTGTTGTAAATCAATTTTCCTTTCATACGATGACATTCGAAATACGGTAGTCGGACCATATTTTATTGTAACCTGGTTTTAATTAATTGTGTAAGTCGTGAGGTAACATTATCTTCGATGTTAATGGTGTCGTTATTGTCATTTCACATAATTAATATATTCGAATTTTGTTAATTTATACCTTGATTTATAGTTTATATGAAGTGGTATTATTATTAAATTATGTTCATTGAGACGAAGAGTATGTAAGCGAAGAAAATTGCCAATAATGTTTACTAGGTATAAACAGAAAATTTAGAGTAAACTAGGTACGTGTGACATCGCATCACGTGCATACACTTTTATATAATTACGAGACTCTAGATTGATTTCTCAGTTTCCACCGAACATGTTGACGCGATTGTACACATTGAAAGAACAGTGAGAACAAAATGCTAACGTATGCCACACCGAGAGTACACAGTACGTAGTACAGGCCGGTTCATAAATCTTCATTGCGTTCCGATGACACGCCACGACACGTCTCGCTACCGCGCTACCGGGCACAGCGCATTCTATAAGATCCTAAGGAACTGTCGCTTCTGCGACCTAATCTAACGTTTCTCACCGTTTCCTTAGAGTTTACTTTCGAATGCCACTAAATAAGGCTCCTCTGCGCTCTCTTCGACGCGAATAATTTCAACAGCTGCGTCGCTGTCACAGCATATGGAGCCGCATTACTCGGAATTAAGGTCGCATTCTAATTCACCGTCGACGTTCAGAACTTTGTTCTTTTCGTTAGATTTATAAGGGTGTGATCTTAAAAGGTCATTTCGTACGACACGTTGCCGGCCCATTGTCGACGTTGCGTCTAGCGCGATAGGGTCCGTTGCGGGTTGAAGGCCCGGAAGAGAGCGGCGACGACATTATCCCCTTGACAAGTAACGTCAGGTTGTCGATCAATATAATATATGTGCCGCACTGTCAGCTGTCTCGACGCATGAATGATTCACTCCGTGATAAATTCTAGCTTATGATTACCTTTCAGACGTACGTCGACGTGTCTGTTTACGTAATTACGGGTTCCGCGATGAAACCCTGGACGGAAGCTAGTATTATTTTGACGCGCTCGCGTCGAGTCCGAGCGATGATTTATGACAGGGGCGTGATAAATCGACTTTATGTAACTGCTTCAAAGAGCAATCGTTAAATACGGTCATTTATTTCGAGCGAGTCACTAATTATACCTCCCGGACGTTGATTGCGGGTGAGATGTGAAATAATGAAGTTTACGGGCAGACAGAGTAGTGATAATTGAATTGGACCTATTCACGTTCGGAAATTTCTAGGGCACTAGCAGCTGATAGATACAAAACGCTGCTACACAATGAACCTTTTTATTTGTTAGTTTTAGTGATTTGAGAAGCTATACAAATTGAATTTTTACATGAACCTCGAAGCTAGAGACAGACGGCCGCAATTATTAAATTTGAGAAAACAAGCCCATGCACTTTATCTAGAAGCAAATCAAAACCGTGACTGCTCAGTGCACACGATATTAACGACGCCATCGAGCGGAGGAATAAGGAGCACCGCTCGTCCATCACTGACGGTGTTATCCGGACATTAGATTAAAGTATTGAACTATTGCAAAGAGAGCATGGAAAGTTCCGGACATTAAAACTTCTTCCGACGTTGTATAGTCATTGGTTAGAGGTCCATTTAAATGTAAAAATCTGATAAAATTAAGCCTTATAATAATAATAAAAACTCTTCATATTAATTACCTATATTATAAAACTGAGGAGTTTGTTTAAACGCACTTAACTCATGAACTACTGGTTTCTTTTTGTCGATTAGAGCATCAACTTGCTGCAAAGCATCCAAAATGTCGGGCCGTAGTTAACAATAATTTTTAAATAAGTTTAACTGATATATGTTATATTTAAATGTGTACTACTCGAATTAAAATATTTTCTAAAGGATCATACGAGTGTTCAGCATTCATTGTGAATGCCATAATAATATACTTTAAGAAGAGTTGTCGGCCTATACGAATCTCGTCAATCGGAAGCCGCCTTTAAGAAGTCAGACTTAGTAAAGGATTGCAACGTCCGATCGTCAATCGAACATGAATCAATGTCAAACCCTATCTGAGTTGCAGACAGACATGCTACGGCTTGCCTTTTGCTTTGATGATTGTTTCCGATACGCATCGACTGGTCTTTAATAAGCTTTTAAAAAGCGGTATTCCGTGTTCAAGACTTTTCAGCTTAAATCGAAGAAATAGATTATTTTGTTATTAGTTAACAATGTGTTAGTAAAGTTAGAATGCTAAAAAAAGTACTATTCAGCAATATAATAATAAATCAGCTTCATAGTATAAAAAAGAGATCACTAGCAGCAGAAGGTTACTTACGTGTAAAAGGAAAAAATCCTTCACTTGTCATACAGTCATTATGTCAAGAGATTTAAAGATTACGATTAACGAGCCACAATTCTGCGACCGGTTTGTTTTTGCTCATTAAATCATTAATTATTTATTTAATTGACAGGGTTTCGTAATAAGAATATTTCATACTGTATTTTATTTATTTTTTCAGTGAGCCGGAAATATAAGACAAGGCGAGACAGCTGATACCGTGAGATTTATTTTATTAATCTTGTTTATAAGGTTAAAATAATGTTACTCAATATTTTTCTGTTACGAGTTGGAAAAAATCTTTACCATAGGCAATGTCAAAACAAATAAATTAATAGTTTAATAGCACAAGACAGCGTTTCAATCGTATTTTGACTTCGACTCCTCTCTGTCCGGTGACGTCATTAAAACTTACTTGTGTTATATCACTGTACACACAACTAAATTACATTATTGTACACAAATTGGTTTTTTATTTATTTATTAATAAATAAAAAACATTTTTTACTAGCATAAAACCTGTTTGTATGTTTCGTAAAGAAGAATTTTTTTATTTTTTTATTTTTATTTAAAAGGTCTACAAAACTAAGCTTTAATATATAGACAAGATATAAATGGCTTTATACAAGTAAAAAATCTTAAAAATTAAGCTTATAAATATGTAGACACGACATGCAGATAAAGTTTAATCGTACAAAGTGAATAATAATTAATTAATTAATAAGGATAAGAATACATTTGTAATTTTACATGAAAAAATTATTTATTTAAAACCTTTTTTTAGCTTTTAACTCGCCAGTATTACAGAGTATGAACATATAGTATTAACAATATAAAGAGTGAAGCTATCTGCATATCCTTTTAAGGTAAGCACTACATGCATAAAACAAACATAGTGTGTGGTAGGTACAGACTAAATATAAGGTACGGTATTTATAAATAAATTAATAATGTTTTAATATGTGAAAATATAAACTGCGGAATTGAATCGTAATTGCTCCCATCGTGGATAGCAGGTGTCTTTCAGAGTGAAATCATCAATCCGCCGAAGGTTAATTCGGCGGACGACACATGCTGCCGTCGGACAACAAACGACGTCGATATAAAGCACTATCCCAATTATTTAGGACAATTCATTAGAGACCCCTCTGCGCTCAGATCGCTGTGATTCGTCACACCCTGGACAGATCCGAGCGGAGTGCCAGGAAGAAATGGCCACACTAAATCAGCCGACGGCCGACGATCTCGAACGTCGCCGTCGATACATCAAGTGTAATGCCTCGGATACCGCGGCCAGATAATCGAATGTGAGCATCGACTCGTTACACTGGAAATGAAATGAGCTTTGTCGTCCGCCTCCGTCGCTCCGACCTAACTTCGACCTTATCGCTTGCGCGCTCGCTCCACGTCCGCGCACTCGCAACGCTCCCGGTTCTCGCCGACTTTTCCGCGATTTTCGTGGACGTAAAGCGGTCATTAGGTCCGCATTCGAGTGACACCCGCCACCCGTCGTCGTCGGCCAGCGGCGGCCGATAGATCTGTAAAGTTTGCCGCGGACAGGAATATATCGAGCGGTCGCCTCCGTGCGGCTTTATTTATACGCAACATCTGTTTGAAGTCGAACACATCGGCGACGGGGAGCGCATTACTGGAGATTTATTCCGCGTCTTAATTGTGAATCGATGGGTTAATGAAGATAAAACCCGCGGCCGTGTTGTAAATTAGCTCGCGTGTCGACTCGTGGCTCGGATAAAGGCCTTCTTTATTGCTCTGTTTGTTCGCTCGGGCCTCACTTCAAAGGCGACTCGGATAAACTTTAGTTTTATGCGAATGTATTCCTCGGGCCGTTTTAAAACTGCTTAAGTGCCTTTAAAATGAGTCACGCGTCCGCGTCTCTTAAAGATTTGCTTTCGGTCGCCACGTATCCCGTGGCCCAGTGAACAGCGATAAACACAAAGTAAGATTAATCGTCGGGGCAGTCCACGATATTGATGAAAGCGATAACGATCCCGACACTGTCGTTCATAATAAGTGGCTATCGGAACCCGAAGCACAGTCGCAGCGAAGCGGTGCGAATCTCCTTTTCAGCCGGCGGTTTATCGTGATTCGGTACGAGGGTTTTATAGCCTGTGGCGTAAAGGTTCGGAGCGCAATATACACTAGAGCCCCTCGCGGTCGCACACTCGAGTCTAATGGCCGTGATTCGACAAGTACAAATGGCCGCCCTGACAAATGGTCTACGGACGACCCCGTGTCACACGAGATACAAGTTCGAAAAGCATTCAAGCCAATATGGGACTTATCGTATCCGGCTTTCAATATTCATTCCACGCTAACTGTTTTGAGCCGAGTACAAAAAGAGCGCTCATTCAAATGGAAATGTGTACGAATAATGGTAATGTCGGTAATTGATGATGCGTGAAGCTCAGTCTGTAAATGGAAATAAGCGTTTCCATCATGTTTATGCGATCACGCTAAATCACTTGTGATTGTATGGAAATCATGTTAACAAAAGTTTTGTTACTTTCATTACGTGCAAACAGACATTCCGTCCGATGGAGGGACGTCACATACGACCGATTATCGAATTGCAATTTAGTTAGCTTTGTCATAAGCTAGGCGGGCGGATGTGTTTTCGTAGCGGCGATTTCCTTTTTACGTAGTGTCAGGTCCGGTCTCCGAGGACCCCTGGCTTATACGATCCGGGTGATTTATGCTTTCCAATCCACTATCGCTTTCGACTCATATTTGATGGACGTCACGGGAGTTATTGCTCTCGTGAAATACGAGCGTTTTTTCGGAGAACAATCGAAGGACGGAGCCATTAAGAGGTCGGACGTAAATCTGAGTGGGTCGCAGGCGATTCGTCTTCTAATGAAGAAAAGTGCGCCCCCAGGATGCTTTATCGTCGATCTGTGTAATTAAAACGTTACCCAGAGGAAATGTGCGGTAATAACAATAAATCTACGGCGGTCGTAACTCGACCGTTGCCGTGTCGAGACGCTGCGTTAATAATTGCCGTTCGAGGTTAGTACGGATATGCTCTTGAATATTTGATGACGGCTAATGAATCAAAGGTCCCTCCGGACATGACGAGGGTTGCTAAAATGCTGAAAGGCAACGCTGATTTATGGCTGCGAACTTGTACGCTACGCATTAATTGATTGCGGGTGTTAAGCGATCCATTAACTTATTTTAAATCCGTGCATCTTCTCATTAATATATATATATAGTACAAATTTATATGTCAAAATATAATGTCGTGAATTTTGTTTATTTTTAACACTGTCTAATAATTTTCTAGTTCTAACTCGATTTTCCTTCGAAAAAAAAAGGAATTTTATTTCCAACCCTGAAAATCCTTATGTCATTTTATTGCTTTCCGTGCGAGTACAACATTTTACGAGTTAGACAATCGGGACACAATTCTGGCGCCTTGAAATATCTCGGTGGAACTTCCTGTTTGATAAGCTTTGGTAACAGTGTTTGGCACATTATCCACCGCCAGGTACTATATAAACGATAGTTAAATATTAATGCAAATGTTCTGTTTATTCTATCAAGTTTTTCCTTTCCCTGACGTTTGAATTCTTAATCAAAGAAGTGTCAAAAATTTGACAACATCCTAATTGAATCCATAAGTTCGCAATACGCGTACTTCCACCCTTATAAAGGGAAGAAATATTAGATCTGTCATTTCTTCTAAATAAACTCACCCTATTTTGTGAAAAAATACATTTCCTTGCAGCGTATAATATTTTAAACCTTCCCCTCGCTTTGGACGACTGGTTGTCGGCACCCGGTACTACATTTCCCACTAAAAGCTGTGCAAGTGATAAGCTCTAGCTTTCATTGAAATATAATTTCACCTCGTATTAATAAAACAATAATTTACAAAGTAAACTTGTTTTTAATATAAGAGAATGACAAGATATACCAACGATATATGTACAAAGAGACGATAGAGTCCTAAGAATTATGACGATAATTTGCAAGGATGAAAGTAAAGGTGCTAATTACGTAGATTTATTCATAACTCCTGTTAGTAAAAAAGACAAAAGCTGAATTCAACTCTAAATAAGCGTCTTACAAGTCCTTCCCTTATAAGCAACCAACCGACACAGACTTGTTATAAATTTGTGAGGAGTTCCACTTGGCGAGGTAGACTAAATAATGTATGTCCTAGTTTACGGAGCATTTCCAACGAACGGCAGAGGCGAGTGACTGGCATCTCCGTTATGAGGCCCTCGCTGACTGCGGATGGATGATCTGAGCGGATCCTTGAGAACGACCTTTCAGCAAGGAGGTAGTAATAAGATTAAGGATAGGACTGTTTTAGGGCATAACTGACAAAATGTCATAAGAGATCAAATCATTTATTATACCAAGGAATCTCAAGTACCATGTAATCATCTGGATTATGTGAGGAAAAAAATAGATTTGAAACCCTGGAGGCAAACTAACTTTGAAAGTACATGTAAATTAATATTAATGGATTGTTCTATTTACCTATACTAAACTTTGTTACTTCTACGAATCGAAAACTTAACGACGCCCAATTAAGCGCAATCTAAACCTCTAAAGGCGAGGTAATGACAAATAAAAAGGTGCGGAGCGATTAGAGACGTAGCGAGGCGACAGCTCATTAGCGCAGATGATATCGCGTTGAGAACAAATGCTCGCTAATGGCTCCCACTACCGAGTACGTGTCCTTTGTGGTCTTGTCTTGTTCTACTTTTTACCTCGGAACAAGACTGCTATCGCCGATCACTTCTCGTCTTTGCTTCAACAGTTTGCCAATGTGCTCGTGATACTCAATGAAAGGGAACACTTTTAACAGTTTAAAATGCGATATAAATAGCCGTGGTGTGGTTACGTTGTAAATAAATTAACTTATATTTGTCTCGTTTTAAACCGTTAAACGTGATAAATTTAAGCATGTATCTCTCGCGTAAACTATAAAATACAGACGATACTAAGGGTAACAAATATATTTTCAAGTTTGGATATTTAGCCTGTCCATTGTAATTGAACTACCGAATATGTAAACCAGAAAAGAAAATACATAGCTACCTATACATTTCGGCAGATATATTGAGATATACCTATACAATTTTATTAAAATTTGACAGCTTTCGCTTTTTAGAGTGAGATATTTAATAAGGTTTAACCTACCTATGTTTATTTTGAAGTAAATGACATCAAATCCACGAGTAATGTTTGATTATCATGTAAGTACGCTGATTTGAGAAAATTATAGTTTACACAATACATACCTACCTGTATTAATGTTACCCGTTTCTTTTAAAACTTAAATTTAAAGTCTTAATTCAGAAGAACTAGACGTCTTTTCAGCACTATCTCTGGAACTGAATGACCCACCTTACAAAACATTAGTAATAAATCCAACCACCTGTTTGACAACAACGATGCCAAGATACACATCTTAAACATCCCGACATAAAAACAAATGTCAAAAATCGCCATCTTCGAGACGGGAACATCAGATTACACGAAAGTTCGTTAATTGTGAGCATAAAAAGTCGAGAATTATAAATCAAAACTCCATTCGGCAAGATAAATTCGCCGAAATCGCTTACTGTGCAAAAGTTCCCTTTTTACGGCGATATATCTGGCTCGGGACCTGCCCGTGCGTCGGGGATGAAATATGTTGCAATTTCTTTGAATAATACATAGGCCGTATATCATTTGCCTACGTTTTGTAGATATGGTGCTAGGACATTTCTCTCTGTGGATTGGAGTATGGGGCCCGATACGTCCCTTTTTGTTCCACACATTTATTTATTATAAATGTACAATTTTCACTACTAAAATGTATAATGTTGATTCTACGTCCGACAGAAATGAGTGTTCGCTTACAGCTTTTGCTTCAAGCCTAAAAAAAGGCATCGATCGTTCAAACAAATCTGACAACTCTGTAACTAATTACGCGCTTATTCCGACCAAATCACAGATGAACACAGTCCCGCACCACAAAAACGCGTCACCTGGTTCTTTTTGTGCACAAAAGCTGCCAATAGCGGGCCAATTTATCACGTCGCTCTTGGCCTTTTAAGACAGATAATATATTGGAACATTAGAGTATAATAGACGAGCCGTGGAGTCGTTTATCATGTTTTTGCGTGACACGGCCCAGTTCCACCTTTATGCCCTCTATTCGTCGGACTTAAAGCCGGGTTTCCTTTAAACGGGTCTTCTCACATTTTGGTAACTTTCACGCAAAGTATAGGTGAGCGCGTGTGTCTATAAATTTTCTGAAATCGGTTTCAAGTTATTGTTTGCGTCGATCTCCATTCAAAAGGCAGGGATTTGTTGAGTCATTACTCTGATATTATGTTACGAGATCGCATCGCGGTGATAAATCATCGCTCTCGGCTTTCTAGTTGTATTATGTGTGTGAGTTACGATATAGCAAAATCGAATTAAGGATTCAAAGCGATTTAGCACTGCTGACCTGATTATACTTGATAATTTGCTTATTAAGCGAACCGAACTGTTGTATATTATTAGAGAATCTATAACGCAAACGGAATTTGAACCAATGAGAGGTTCTTGACAAAATACATCTAGTGAGAAACTGAACAGAATTATAATACTGGTCCTTCCAGTGTTTTTGTAAAAAGCTTTTCTGTATATTTTGTCACTGCGCCGAACAATTGTCGCTTTCAATCGGAACAGACAAACAGACAAGCGACGCTTCCTCTGCTTTCAAAGAGAATTGTGTAAACATCACTCCGTATACAAACCGAAGGAATACAAAACGGACTAACCCTTAACAGAGATGCGACCTGAACAAATCTTTATTACAACGACAGAGGCCATCGTTTGCGTTGCAAGGGAAGCGTAACTCTATACGCAAAGCGTATTTTGACGACTCATAGGAATTGCAACTTTATGCCTTGCTGATAAAGTTGTGATTGAAGGGTCGGTAATCTAATAGGGTTGTTCAAACCATTCCGTAGCACAAGTAATGGATTGGGCGATTGTCGGTTGAAGCGCGGGTGGTCACTTCATCGTTTCATGTCCGTGGCGACACAATGGGCTTTTAAAATTATGAGCAGTCATTTTTGGTGACGCGTTGAGGAAATAGACCGCCCGTAGTTATCTCTCGCTGTTCCGAATAAACATACAATTGTATCTCGAGATTTCGCCATTGGCGATAGATCGGTGGCTTCGTTTCACCTGGACAGCCGATGGCCACCCTAGTTGAACTAAATTACTCTCAATCTATCTTACGAGACTTCCAGGCTTGAAACTGTGCTTTTTTGAAAAACATAATATCTACAGCTATTATTCAATTTCTGAAGTAATAATACCATAGCTAGTTTGTCTAGAAACACGAGCCTCCATGAAAAAATAAACTCTTGGCACTAAAATTGCGATTTACGTGTAAAATTGCTATTGCAAGTGGAAGATAACATATCCACTTTTTCCACTTTCATTATTGCTGACAATTCATAAATCTACTAATATATAAAGTACTGGTGGGAATTTGAAATTTCTTTGTGTCGCTAAGAGTCTTTATTGAGGAAGGCTATAGATTATAAAAGGTAGTTCTGTGACTAATGAGAGCGAAGAAACAGTGGGAAATGTGGAAAAAACGGGGGAAATTATTCATTACTGTAGGTTTTCGATGCGTACGTTGCAAAAGCAATTCAAGACCAAAAAATAAATAATAAAAGAATGATTCCTCTTTAAATGATCTAAAAATTTGTGAGTGACTTGATCTTTTAAGATTAACTTGCAATAATGACGGGACCCGAACGACAGGTCGAGAATGACGGGTCGCGAGCGATGTCGTGGTTAACAGCTTAAATTTATGAAGAAGAAGAGGAGGTTTGCAAAAACTAATTTGAAGATGCAGCCGAAGATGAAGTCGAAGACGAAGGAGGAGTATCCTCCAC